CCTAGGTTCAAACACACAGGGTGCACACTTTGCACTCTATATGCCATCACATCATACAATGCTAATGCATGCTGCCTCAAACACCTCATCTACTACATGTTATGAATTATAGTATTTTTACTCTCTATAGAAAGTCTTCTGCTTTTATAGAAACATATGGTTTAATTATAAATGCAAAGTCTTTTAATCTTTTCCTCTTGTCATTCCTCTGCACTTAAGTACCAAATTAGTATATTTTTGAAGTGTTGCTAGATTAAGTTTAATTTTTTAAAATTCATTTTATTTTTTATGTAAATGAGTGTTTTGCCTGCATGTATATAAGTACACCACATGTGTGCAATGCCCATGGAAGCCAGAAGAGGGTGTTGGGAGTTACAGGCAGTTGTGTGCTACCACATGGGTGTTAGGAACTTAACCTAGGTACTCTGCAAGAGCCTCTGGTGCTCTTAACTGCTAAGTCATCTCTCCAGCCCCAGAACATTTAAGTTTAAAACTTCCTGTTTGAGTTGCTGACTTAAGCTTTATGAATAAATCATTAAATTAATTTTGGCTTTGGATTAGGACAGAATTTCCAGAAATTTCTGAAATGGTCCTAAACTTACTTCTGCCATTATATATTATGTAGTTATTCAAAATAGTGTTTTCATGCTCCCCTGCCAGATACATGGCACTATATATTTATTAAGATCCACAGGCTGCACCCCAGTGTGAACTATGAGTTTTGGGCACAATGATGTATTAGTGTAGGTTCATCAGCTATAATAAACAGCCCTTTTGGGCTGTAAATAGTGTTTTCAGCAGTGATGATTATAAAGTCCAAATGCTGATTAACTCTGAAAAGTGTTGAAGAGGCTCTACATCCTAATCATTCAGATACTCAGTCAAGATTCAATTCTGTATATAATAATGAGCAAACATTTCTATCTCATATTATCTATCTTGTTTGTATGAAAATTTGCTTATCTTTAATAAATGGTAAATTTATCAAAGAATTTTTTATGATTTATTATCATTAAATGTTTGAATTATATACCTATCTTTTATAGCTATATATTGGGGTGTAACATAAAATTTTTTTGAATGAAAAGGAGTTTGGAGTCAAAATCTTTTAGGAAACCCTGATTGAGCGATTGACCAAGAAAACCAGACTGCATATGAGTAACACATTCTCCTCTTCCTCCTCCTCCTCTTCCTTCTTCTTCCTCCTCCTCCATCACCTCCTTTCCCCCCCTCTTCCTCCCCC